CACCATCACCATCATCACCATCATCACCATCACCACCACCATCAACACCATCACCTTCACCCCCACCACTATCACACAAATGAGACAACTTTAAATTGCCCCCATGCTTGAAACACCCTAAGAGTGCCACAAGTGGTCTTAGAGATAAAGTTTCTGAAGAACGTTAGGGAACCCCCATCTTGCTATAGTACCAGTACCCTTATGCAGTGTCCACCAGGTTAGAAACAGATAGATCAGGGTTGTCCCCTGCCAGGAAGATCAACCTTTAATGGCTTTGCTCAAATTTCCCCAGGAAAGTGTTTGTGGCTGAGGAAGTTGTATATTAAATTTGAGTGGTTCATAAATATATTTTCTAAAACTCTGTTTCCTCTTTTATTTATTTGCTTACTCTAACTTAGTTACTTAGAGAAGACCCAAAATTCAGTGGGAGAGTCTTCGTCAGCCATCAGGAATAGAAAATGGGTGAGTTGTACTCAGAAAAGCACGACCAAGGCTCGGAGGGCCCTCATCGCCGAGATGCCAAGACAAACACACTCGTAGCCATCACCATGGAAGTGGTGGCTTTGTGGTTCAATGCCAAAGGGGGAATAGGGAAAAAACCAAGAGGGCAGCGTAGAGAATCATTTCCCTCATCAACGTCCAGGCAGAACATGCCCGCGGCATTGGGCAGAGGACCTACAAACTACATTACTGAGCTTTGAATAGTTTCCACAAGAATGGAGGTTGACAGAGATCTACAAAAACAATGCCTCCATCTCAGAAGCAGAAGCCCTTGGCTTAAGCCAACCATATTGGCAAAGACATATCTGGGTGAAAGGTATAAAGCAAGGAAAGAAGAATCACAAACTACTTTCATTTGGGGCGCCTGGGTGGCTCAGTTGGTTAAGCGACTGCCTTCGGCTCAGGTCATGATCCTGGAATCCCGGGATCAAGTCCCACATCAGGCTCCCTGCTCAGCAGGGAGTCTGCTTCTCCCTCTGACTCTCACCCCTCTCATTCTCTCTCTCTCTGTCATTCTCTCTCTCTCAAAAATAAATAAAATTTAAAAAATTAAAAAAAAAAAAGAATCACAAACTAAGGCTGAGTGCTTGGGGGCAAGGAGGCAGAAGTTAGAGCAGGATCAAACATTGGATGTTGATGGGAGATGTCACAGTTATTGTCCAATATTGTAGCCTATGAACCATGTGGCTTACTAGCACTTGAAATGTGGGTGGTTTGATGGAGAAACTGAATTTTTAGTTTAATTTAATTTTAATCAATTTAAATTTAAAAGCTGATATTTGACTCTGTTATTAGAAAGTTTTAAGTATGTTTAGGATAACTCTTGTTGGTGAATGTAGTTTTCAACTGTGTATTTTATGAAATTTACAATTTCTTACAAATTATAAAATTTATAAAATTTATACATTTCCAATAGAAATGTAAAACATCCAAATTGGTGCATAAGTACAAAATGCACATTGGATTTTGAAGATTTAGTATCCCCCCAAAAAGGAGGTAAAATATCTCATTAATAGTTTTTTGATTGTGTGTTGGAATAATATTTTAGCTACACTGGATTAAATAATGTATTAACTTGACCTGCTTCTTTTTACCCTTTTATTTTTTTTAAAGATTTATTTATTTGAGAGAGAGCACAAGCAGGGGGAGGGGCAGAGGGAGAGAGCGAAGCAGACTCCCTGCTGAGCAGAGAGCCTGACACGGGGCTTGATCCCAAGACCCCGGGATCATGACCTGAGACGCTTCACCGACTGAGCCACCCAGGCACCCCTACCCTTTTAATGTGCTGAGTAGAAAATACAAAGTTACACATGCAGCTCGCATTGGATTTCCCTCGGACAATGCTGCCACAGTCAGTCAGAAGCCTGCAGACACTGCAGGACCCCCAGAGTGTCTGTTGACTCTGGTCAACTGTCTGGGTGCCCTCTGTCCTCTGCCCACTCCCCAGCCACGCCTCAGGAGTAAATGTTTGCCAAGAAGCTGTTGTTCACCCAGAGAGGAAGTATGGTATAATTAGAAAACTGAATCACAGGTTAGACATTTTACAGCTCACAGTGTTATCACTGACTCCGGAACATTCCACAGTCTCAATTCAAGTAGTTTGCTGGGAATTTTGACTTAGATCGCCAAAGTAATTGGATCGGCCTCTGTTGGACTTCTGAAGACCCCACAAGTCCTGTGTCCTGGACATGCTAGACTCTGTGGATTGCAGGGAGATTTTGCAGCTCAAGATACATTGCAATGCAGTGTCTCTGTAAATCTAAAATTATTTTAAATTAAAAAGTTCATCAGGGGCGCCTGGGTGGCTCAGTTGGTTAAGCGACTGCCTTCGGCTCAGGTCATGATCCTGGAGTCCCTGGATCGAGTCCCGCATCGGGCTCC